CCATCGCTTGTGCCCCCCCCCCCCACTCCTAGTTTAAAGCCCCCTTTATCAACCTGGCCTATTATAAAAGGTGTTCTATTCTGTGAATGTATTTGCATTGCACCGTTGGTCCTGAATAATTCCTGGTGATTAAGCATCATCTCTTTTCTGTGTGAGAATCAAATAAAAGAAGGTGTCCTTTGTAGATTTACAATGTAAAAATAGTACTTCATTCGTTAAAGAGGATAAAAGCAGCTGTAATGTCTAGCTGCAGGGTAAATGCAGTGGCTGTGTATTTCCGTCTCAAGAGTTTTTGAGAGTACAACTATTTTGGTTTGTGTAACTTTTTACTAAAAAAAAAACAAACAAGTTAGGATATGTCTATGAAGAAATAATTTTTGATTGTTAAAATGTGGTATAATGGAAACATGCCTTAGTTTCCTTATACTTAAAAATCCTTGAATTTAACATGAACAAACATTTTAATATCTTCTGACTCTATTGCAGTTCTTGGATGGCTGTGAGGTTTAGCTTCCTCCATCACCCCATCCCCTCCCCTTTAGGGTATGACTTAAAGCCTGATATAGTCAACAAAGAGTGACAGACACAGAAAACTGCATTGGTGTTTGCATACAAATTAAAAAGCAGCAATACAGCAGAGTGGTCTTAGTCACAGTTACTACCAACATTTCCAACAGTATCTGAAGGTTCGAAGTTCTGCCATGTTTTTCCTTTCCAAAACCAATTGAAGGTCTAATTGGAGAACTTATGCAAAATTAACATGATCTGTTTTAAACAGTGCATTTGCTAACATTATCAATGTGGCATTTTCTACTGTGTACTCACAGTCAGGGAAATGAAACAACTGCTTTACTGTAAGCCTGTTATACAGGGTGTTGGAAAGTGCTAATATATCAGGATGTCCTTATTTCTGCTGCTGGGCTTGAGAACAGACTTAAATTAATGCATATGAAGTAAGTACTGCAGTTATACTTTGCTTTTTTTACATAAAGAGTTCTGAATGCACCTCTACCATGGTTAATTTTGGGGAACTACTTTGTGTCTCGTTGAGAACAGTAGGACTTAAGCACTGTTAAGTAACCATGTCCTTAAGTATTCTCCATTATTGGCCTGTTAACAGACTTTCTTAACAATGCTTTTTTAACAACATTAAGCTGTGTCACTATGCTGTTATGGTGCACGTTATTTCAATTTTTATATACGTATTCAGATGTAGCTGTGGTGAACAATCAACATATTAAGTACTGGCACAGGTCTTAAATGTTTTTTTGTAAAGTTCCCTTAAAATTCTTTGTCATTTTGTGGTTTCACAGGAAAACACAAGGTTGGTATTGCTGCTTACTTTTGTACACTAATATTTGCCTGGACATCCCCAGCAGTATTATAGAAATGTAAAGATAACTCTTCTTAATGATAATTCTACTCAGGTCACATATGTGTTGGAGGTCACCAACAAAATTCTTTGAGGAAGCAAGGAGGAAAATAACTTGGAGTGATAAACTTCCATTTCAATAGCTGTAGGTAATACTAGTGTGAAATGTGCTTGTGAATTAAAAAGGGAATTAAGTAGGAAATATTTTAAAAGGACTAATGGAGTAATCTGAACTTTTAACATGTGTTACAGAACATATTCCAAGTTTTTAATCACTGTTTATAAGAAGTGAGAGTTACTGATCTTCTTTTCCCCCTTACTTTGTAAGGTCTTTCAGCATTACAGTAAAATTCTCAGACTCATCATACTAGGTCTATCCTATGGTTGCATTGCCATTAATTACCATTAATTATGGTTGCTTTTATTGTTATGTTATGTAATACATACCAGAGTTTACTTATGGTTGTTGCAGTATGCTGAACATGCAGAAAAAAAGTAGTTTATCAACAGACATACTTCCTGTGTCTAGTGAGTAGATGCATTTCAGAATGGACTCTTGCTTTACATGCTCTCTCCAAGTTAAGGAAAACTTTTACCTTTTTTTCTGATAATTCTAGTTAAAAAAAAAAATAACAAATTTATAGTCCATGTGTTCTAAATATTACATTTTGACACTGCTAAAGAGTTAACTGAATATTGATTAGAAAGTGGTGATGCAGTAGTGAAAATCCATTTATTTTAGAGCAGTTAGAGCATTAGAGGGAAATTGAAAGGCATTCCATCTTGAAACTTAACTGTTCTGTAGATATTTCACAAAAGTAAGTGATAAATATTTTATATGTAACTTCTAGTGTTTATAAGGCAATTAACAGAAAAATATATCAAAATAGGAAGCTCATTATCTACAATAAAATTATTTGAACACAATTTTTTAACATAGGTTATTGTTGTTCTTTTTCTTAATTTCTCTCTATTGCTTGTTTTGCACAGGAAGGAGTTACAGGAGCTGCAGAATCTTTACAGACAAAACATTGAACATACAGCACAGCAGGCTGAGCTGATAAAGCAGCTTCAGGCTCTCAATGCTGATACACAAAAAGTACTGAAAGACCAAGAAGATGCTCACACAGCTGAAACAACATCCTATCAAAAAGTATGTAATTCTGCTATATGATCACAGAGTTCATTTTAATATCCATCTGTACATTGTCAGTGGACAGAATAATCCAGGCACTGTGTAGTGTTCCATCCTTTAGATCTCTGGATCTTTGTTACCAAAACATGGTTGGCAGACTAACAGAGTTTATTGGCCTCATTACATCTCAACTTATATGGCCTCTTGCTTACGTTGGATTGATGAGCCTTAAAAATGTTAACATTTAGTTGCATCTGAAGAAAAATGGAAATGAATTGCCAAGCATATAAATTTTTTACGTAATTTTACATTACCTATTTTTCTTCTCTTACAGCTTTTGGTTACTAAATTCTCCAATTTATTTCTGATGTTTTAAGGGAAGGAAACTCCTTTCAATTCTAAAAAATGTGTTTGTGTGAATCTCGATCAATTTTACTGGTTTAAGATGCAAAACCATACTCAAAGGTTAAAAATTAAACAAAGTTAACTGGAAAAATTACTGCCATAATATCTTTTTAAATGGATAACTAATTAAAAAATTTTAAGTGGTATTTACATTTACAGAACAGATTCATATTTTTGATGAATACCAGAAAAAAAATGCTAATCCTGAAGAGGTATCACATGTACTACTCAGAATTTCTCTTGAGTTTAGCAAATTATATGGATATGTTTTTTCAGTCTGTAAGAACTACAGAAGTTATGTTTCCTTCCTTTTTAGAAACACTGAGAAGGAAGAAGACAAGGAAGAAGTTGTATATACAACTTTAATGTATCTTCCAGCAATCTTGGAACTATTTTCTGAAATATGTGTGTTGTTGGTGCTTTTTCAAAATAGAGGTGTTTCCCTTTATCATCTTACTTTGAGTATGGTCTGTGATAAAATTGTGAAGCTAGGCCCAAGTCAAGCCAGATTCAGTACTGGGTTTCTAAAGATGTGTTTGTTTAACCTTTTATAGAGCGTGGTGCCCAGTGCATTTGTGTGTACTTAACTCTGCACAAGTTTATCATTGACTGCAGTGATTGACTTTTATTCACTACAATAATAGCCCAACCAAAATACAGGTAGATTTCAATCCGCCGTTCAGAACATGTATGAGGCAAGGGGAGTTCTGCCTATCTGGGGCAAGACAAAATATGGTTTTATATATATGTAAATACAGAAGGTAGGTATCAGGAATGATTATTGCCATTTCTCATTCTGCAGCTAGTCCTTCTAAAGGTGTTAAATGGATCCTTTGAGTCACTCAAACACTAAAAACTGTCACATGTGAATATACATGAAATCTCTTAATCAGAGCTTATAAGGCCATATTCTTCCAGAACAGCTTTAAAAACTATAGCAGAATAGTTTTCATGAGACTGTTTTAAAGCATGACAAAGCTATGAAGGTCACTTTCCCTTGCGTAATAGTGATTTTGCTAGTATTACTTCAGTTTGGGAAAGAGCTTAACCTATCCTATGAAAAATAATTTTTCTATTATAAGCTACTTAGTTATTATTGAAAATTCATAGGTCTACTTACATAGCTATAGGAGCAAGCCACTTCTAACGTAGGCTTTGCTCAAAATTCAGGAGTGCTTCAGAAAGCCAGGTCACAATTCTTGGTCTGTCTTAGCAGGACTTAAGAATTCTTCCTAGCTGATCATCCAAGAAGAACAAGAACAATGTGGTTTTGAAGATAACTCTTTTTTTTTTTTTTTGATAGCTGCCAAAGACTTCCACATCATAGGTGACCCTAACATTTAGTGGCTTGGAGGTGTTGAATTCAATTTTTTTCCAGCATGGAGGGGTAAGGTTTGCCTCTTAAACCAGCAAAACCCAACTCAAATATTCTGACAAATTCCTCCTGTGGAAATGATACACTGCCTTTTTGTAAAATAAAAAAAAAAATTATCTAATGCACCTGGAATAAAATCTATTTTTTTTTTTTTAATAAAAACATGTAAACCAAGTATATATAAAGAAGTAACAAAATGAAGTAAAAACAAAGTGGATAAAAAGTTTTACAAGTTTTAAAAAGTAAAGAAACAAAGTAAAAAAAGGTAAAAAAAAGAAGTAAAAAACCTAAAAAATACCAGGAAAAGTAAAAAAAAAAAAGTTGTAAAAAGGTAGAGAACCCCAAGTAAAAAAAGATTCACCCCAAAGTTAAAAGAAGAAAAAAGTTAAGCTCTCTAAGTCAGGGTGGAATAGATCTAACAATGTTTGTGGCAAACTGAGTTGAGGGAATTTCAGAGAGGAGGAGGAGTTCCTTTATCATGACAATCCTGTGCTATACTTCTGGTCAGAACTGTGTAAGATACCTAACTGTATTTGCTTCAAAGTAACATACATTTTCCATATCACAAAATACACAGTCCTACTTAGGTCACAGAAGGTCTTTGGAAAACTCAGCATGTAGAAAATTAATACAAATGCCTATGTTTTCTTCGAATGGGAAAGACAAACCATTGCAGACAAATGCATGTTCTTTTTGTCTTCCCCGCATTAATAACATGCAGACAGCAACAGCTGGATGAAGGTGTGTCAGCTATCCCATAAACATACTCACAAAGGAGTATTTTCCTACTGCTCTGAATGTCAGTGAGCCTACCAGTGTATACATCCTGTTAAATATTGTCCCTTGCAGCAAGATCAACGAACTGCCTCTTTGGGGTCAGATAGACAGTATATGCTATAGCTGAGGAAACATGGTTGGCTCACGTATTCCAAATTCATTTTTCCAGTCTGCCATTTAGGAAGGGCCACTCTTTGTGCTGATGTGTAGTACAAAAAAGTATTCTGAATAAAAGAAAAGACATTTCTGATAAACTAGATCAAGGTCATGAACTTGCACTGGATTATGTGTAAATCCACTGAGGACCACAAATTCTCTTCCAAGTCTAGCTGTAGTGGGTAGCATACACATGTGAAGATCTGTAATCTTTTTTATCAAGTTGCATTGACTTGACATACTAATACCTTTTTTTTTTTTAAGTACAAGTTTTAAGGGTGCTGTGTTCTACAATAACTCCTTTATGTTAGACCATTTATGGAAACAAATTGGTATCTGTTTCATATTGCAGCTGTAGTTCTCATTCTAAAGGATAGGGAATATTTTTTAAAATGTATAGCATCTGTTTTAGTGGTCCTAAATGCTCCAGGGACTTAATTCCTGTGCTGGATTTAATGAGACTCAATAGATTTGTCCTCACCAACAATTTCAAGGTGGAGAGACTTCAATCAATACTAGGGATAATAAGACAAGAAGAGAATTCTGAACTCCTTAGCCAGCTTATCACAGTATTCTGAAATTTACAATTTAAGGCTTTTGCTTTTATAATGCAGTACTTTCCCTTGATCTGATGTGGCCTTTAGGTTCTTTGTTAATCATACTGATTAAAAATCTCTTAGTGATAGGCACTTCTGGTGAAGTGGAAGTACCGTTATTTGTCATTAAATAGGAAATCGTAATTCGTGTCCTGGAACTCGGCTCTCAAAAAGACTTACTGTGGATAGTGATACAGTACATGTCTGTGGTGAAGAAATGCATTGTTCAATAGTTAGATTTTTGGCATAATTCGAAAACAGTAAGAGTTTTCACTTATGAAGCATTGCAGAAGTCTGCAGGAGGTAGATAAAAATAGGATACAATCAGATTCATATTTAGATGTTTTGGTTAATTTTGTGCCTGAAATTGCCTTTGATAGTCCTAATTTCTTTCACATATGGTAAGAGCTGAGAAACTAATGGTCCAGTCAAAGATGCTGCAGCCCACACCAGTAATCTGAGTCAACATTTTTGTAGTTCACATGCTCTCACAGCTTTTATAGAAGGAAACTAGATCTTTAACAAAGATTGTCTCACACTTCAGTTCAAGCTGTGGTACCATTTTATATTGTTGGAAAATGTGTTAATTACATTAGCCTATTTATTTCTTGTGCTCCAAACACCAGTACAGTTGCTTGACACTAGTCACTAATGTTTGCAAACCATTGAATTAATGATTCTGACAATGGCAATGTATTTTTTTACAAGAGCTATAGATTGAAGAAATTATGAAAACTAGGGAGTCAGTGCAAGAGGAGAAAAAAAAAATCTTAACCTTAAATTTTCTTTAAATACGTCTGTGAGTAATGCCAGTTTTGATCTGAGTTAGAATTACGAGGTTTTATATGTAATGAGGTTGGTTTCACAATCAAGGATTTTAAATGATACCTTTTGCAGTATGAATTATTAACATTTTTCTGCATTACCTGGGGCTGGTGCTCTTCATAAGACTGATGAATGTTCTCTGACAGTACACTGTAGAGAGAGAAGAAACATAAATAAGGTTTTGCTAGCATTTCACGGAGAAGTTGTTGCTGATGAACACGATCTTTCTGGGAGGAACATGTCAGAATTTTTATATATTCAAAAAAGGAATACACAAACCTCACTATTAGATAGCCTTATCAACACCAGGAATTGCACAAAACTGATTAGGTGGATGAATATTAGAAGGCTCCATTAGTGGGTGGGAGAATCGGTCAGGAACGGGAAATACTGGATTCATTGAAGTAAACAGACTCATCAGTTTTGAAGTTTTGCCGAAAGTAACACTAATCACAAAATATTCTTTTATGTTCTCATGTGTTTGAGAAGGTGTATTGCTAAAGTTATCCATTTTACATGGTTTCCAAAACAACTTTATTTTCAATCATATTGTGCCATTAATTTGAGGAAAGCATGTCTTTTCTTCTAGCTTATCCTTGGGACTCTCACTTGCGTGGCTCTGATGTTATTTACATCCATTCTGTACTTGCTTTCAGTTTTTTTTTAACCTCTCAATTGTGTCTGACATTTTTCGCTTGCGTTATAGATAAGCTTCATAATCCCTCATCTTAAAAATTTGCTTTACCTCTGCTTTTCCATTTTAAAACTAAACACCATGAAAACGTTCCATCTATTCTGTCTGGAGTGCCTCTTCGGGCTCGCTATAGAGGTTCTCCAGCTGCTTTTTGCCCTTGTTTCTCTAAAATTCTCATAAACAGTGTGATCTTGTAACATGAATTTCTGTGATGGTGCTGTAATAGTTTCCCTTACAGCTTTAATGGTTCTTAAGATAGACTGACTTTTTTCACTTGTGTCATTACTACATGTTTGGTATTGCTGTATGTTTGGGTATGCTTACTCAGGTCTCTGTAATACACTGGAGTTTAGGGTACAAGCATTTAGATAAAACATTTAATGTAGAAGAATATTTGGTTTACACCTGGTGTATATTATTGACTACTGTTGCTTTAAATGGATGAGTCTACCTTAGTGTTACTTCTTCACAGGAGTATACTTTTGAAGGAAATCTCCTGGAAGTCTCCACTTCCTGTGTTTAGTTGATGTCATAGAAAAGTCTATGAGACCATTAACCAAATCCCTTTTACATTAATGAAATGGAAAATATTTTGGGACTGGAAAATGGGTCCTGGATGTTAATTGGCATGCAATAGACAGAAGCAGTCTAAACCTAGTTTGAAATAAATTCTGCACACTTGTATAATGTTAGCGTTGGTCATTTGTGTCAGCTGTCTCATTCTGCAGTTATTTTTCCAGTTGCACTATGATTCTGGCTAACATATAATACAATAGCTTGGGTGAATTACTTAGTTTTACTAGGTTTTCTTGGAATTCCTCAGGTTTTCTTGATCTGACCTAACTTAGTTTTGCCATCACAATTTTTTAGTGTATGTCAGTACTTTAACACACCCCACTGTTACCAAGCTGTTTTTATTGCATGTGAGCAGGCATTAGGGCCCCATTTTTCAGTTGTCCTGGAAGCCTAGCTTTGGTCTGGCATTTTTAGATTACTTGATGATGTTAAGTATACCTATTGTTCTAATGAAGTTTTCTGGCTGAAGTAACTCTTCCAATAGCTAGCAAAAAGTGTTTTCTTTTAAAATCAGTTTAATCAACACAGGAAATTTTTAGAGTAGCTGAGAAATACGAGATACTTTTTGTAGTTCAGCTAAGTTACTCTGCCTTCCTCACGGATAAATGATGCTCTTATGTCATATAGACTAAACTTATTCCAGTGTAATGATTTCAGATACTTACAGTCTTTGTTTTATTTGTTTTTAAGCACCTTCACCCATAACAGCATATGTTACATGTCAGAGAAAGGACAGCTCTAAGGCATTAGAACGAAATACTCAAAATACACTCAGTGCAACAGTATTTGTGGAGCAAAGTCTTATGTCACTGACTGTTGCCTTTTTTTTTTCAACTACCAAATTTCATAAAACGTATAAAGAATAATTTTCCATATTTTCCCCCTTTCTATCTTGTTAACGCAAATATTTTTCTAATCTTTTCTTGTAGATTAAACAATTTCCTGGGTAAATCTCATGTCTTACTGACATTTGTGTAGGGTATAACTACTCACTTATGTACAGTCAAGATTTCACTCCTCTTTTATATGAAGCTTGCTAGTTCTGAGATAAATAATTTACAATATTTTTGTCTTTCTTTTCGATTTTCTACTCAATGTTCTGTCTTTAGCCCTCTGATCTCCATTTTGCATCTTGTCTCTCTACACCTGTCTTTCTGTATCTTTATTAATGTTAAACCTGTTTCATTCTGTTGGGGAAGTCTGTATGTTCTGGAACGTGATTACTGCAATGTGATTAAATGTGGTACCTCTTCTAAAAGATGTTCAGAAATGAGCAGAAAACTCAAAAATAATGCAAGAAAAACAGTAAGCATATATTTAATGCATAAAACAGTGCATGCCCATAAAACAAAACACAGGGAGCCAAATGGAAGTTTGGAAGCCATTACCTCTGGATAAAATTTTTATTTTGAAATTTCCTGATGTTAACACTGTAAAAAAAAAAAAAAAAAGTCTTATAAACTAGTACATTGGTGGTGGTTTAAAAAAAATATAAACCTCAGTGTAAAAAAGCTGAATGGTGTGAATGTGGTTTTTTTTTTTTTTTCCAAATATCTTTTAGCTAGTTTTATAATTGAATTATGTGTGTTTTGTTATTCCAATGTTCAAAGCAGGAAAGGTTGGAAAACTTTATGCAAGTAAGAAGACATGCTATTTGTCTTGTCCTGACAAATGCTGACTACCTAAAATACCCATTAGCTACATGAGAGGATGTAGCTGCCAGTAGAAAAACACATCACATTTTTGATGTTTTCCATTCATCTTACTAGGATGCTACCTTTCAGGTACTATAATTACAACCACTTAAGTACTGCTATTCATAAAATCAGCAAATTGTCATACCAGTATGATGAAGCTAATGAGCTTATATAGGTATAGCTGGAAGTAACTGTGTCTTGATGTTCCATTTGTTTGGAAGGACATTATCTGAAAATGCATGTTTTTGATGAATGAGCTGTTTATTTTTGTGTGAGATACTTACTGATTTCTATAAGAAATTGGCTAATCTTGAATTTGCATTTCTAGAGGTGATAGGCGCTTTCTTAAATATATATGAAAGAATCAAGAGGCACAGAAATTTCCATGCAAAATTTTAATTATGAAGACTCAGAGTCATTGGAAATATCAGTCTATCTGGATGGACTCTGAGTGAATTTTGCCTGAGAGACATAATCTCTGATCTGCTTTGGAAATGGACAAGAAGTAGTTTACTTTGCCCTAAGTGGATTATTAGAGTCCGTGGGATTAGGAGATGATAGGAAGAAGGTAAGGAAGGGAGGTTATTGTTTCCAGATTTCTCTGAAAGTGTTAGGTAGACAGTTTCCAAATCTAAAACCGGTGATTATTTTTCAAAGGCTTTAACTTAGACTGAAGGGAGGAGAAGTGTATTATTTAGGTAAAGCTGACAAGACAAAGGGTAAAAAATAATATTTTTACAAGTAAAATTACTTGGTGAGTTCCTGTTGATAGTTTTCAAAGTTCTGATTTTCATATTTAGTGTGTTTCTTTTGGATAGAATGGCAGAAATAGATTTAAAAAAAAAACAAAACAAAACAAAACAAAAAGGAAAACAAACAAATAAAAAAACCCCAACCAAACAAGTCAAAACAAGAAAAAAACCAACAAACAGCTAGCTGTGGAAGTACAGTCTATTTTATGATACAATGAATAGTCAGAGAGAATATTGTTTATTTTGAGAGAAAAAGAACCATCAAAGCAATGAAGCACAGAAAGGAAGAAAGAAATGTATGCTTAGGTAGTAAAGCTGGAGAGACATCTATTTCCTTCAGAATCTGTACTGTTGTTTATTCAACTACAGGTTTATTTTTAAAACTTTTTTTTTTTTTTTGTATTTTTTAAACTTGTTAAGTTCTCTTATTCTTGCAAAGTAAGTTCATTGTTAGTTACATGGCCTGTACGGCTAGTTGTTACTTAGACGTAATTCTAGAAATTCTTTGTGTGTATGGCATCTCTTCTAAAGTGATTACAGAGTAGATACAGTCTTCTGTTTTCAGCAAGAACAGCTGAGCAACAGCCAGGGATAAGAACTTCTAATATAGTATCTGAGTTTTGTAGTTGATATAAAAAAAAATTCCCACAGAGTAATTATTTAACCAACCCTTTTACACTTCATACAAAGTGTGGTCGGCATTAGTGGACTCACTGTATTGCTATCAAAGATACATAAAAATGTTTTGAAAATCCAACTACTCCATAAAAAAGAAGGAAGGTATTTGGTGTTCTTGATCCTTTGCTTTTGTTCCCAGAACAGATTTTCAATTTTTGCCTATTCTCAGTAAGGGATTTTTTTTGTTTGTTTGGATTTTCTGTATTTTATATAACTGTTCAAGGAGTAAAATAGGTCTTGATTTTTAGGTGTCCATTTTCTTTCATGAATGCCATAAAGAAGCAACTGAAGCTGAGAACACTCTAATGTAAGGTGTGTTTTTTCTGTAAAAACTTATTTCAAACATAAAAGTTTAACTGATTATTACAGTCACTGTTTTCCAGTGTATAGAATGTGACAGGAGGCATCAGGACAAGTATAAAAGAATGTAAAAAAGAGAGCGTCATCTTTGTGGATAAGTTCCTGAAATTATACTTTCTTTTTTTTCTGTTTATATGGTTATCTGTCATTTGGTTATTGGTTAGAATTGTTTATTTTTAATACTGCTATTTGTCTTCTCCCCCTCATAGCTTTATAATGAATTGACTTCATGTTTTGAAACCGTTAAAACAAGTGAAATTCAACTGCAGCAAAGCTGTGCTTCTCTTCAGGATCAGTTACTTGGAAAAGATCAAAGGATTTGTCAGTTACAAGAGCAACTTCAGCAGGCTCATGCTGCTTTAAATGCAGTACATCAGAATGCTCCAAAATGTGAACTACAGGTGAGTCTGCTTCTAGAATAAGAAAAAAGTTGTTTCTTCTTGTTTTAAATTAAGCTTCAATACCAGATAGTTTTAAAGGAAATTGCAGGGCATTTTCTTAAGAAAAACTGTGCAACAATGCTATGAGGGTAGCGAATGGGGCAAAGCTGGAAGTGGGCAGATTCAGGCTGGACATGAGGAAGAAGTTCTTCATCATGAGAGTGGTGAGACCCTGGAATGGGTTGCCCAGGGAGGTGGTTGAGGCCCCATCCCTGGGGGTCTTTAAGGCCAGGCTGGATGAGGCTCTGGGCAGCCTGATCTAGTGGGAGGTGTCCCTGCTCATGGCAGAGGGGTTGGAACTGGGTGATCCTTGTGGTCCTTTCCAACCCTGACACATTCTGATCTGTTTTGGCAGAGGACTTTAGAGCCCTAATGGCTCAATGGTTGGACTTGATGATCTTGGAGGTCCCTTCCAACCTAAAGGATTTTATGATTCTAATAGAAGGAAATTCACAATTAAATCTGTCCTGGGAAAAAGACTGAGCAATAGTATCAGTATTTAACAAGGCTCTTATTTATATTCTCTAACAAAAATAGAACTGAAACCAAAGGGATTTTGTTACTGGAAACAAATTTGTAGGAAAAAACGGTGAAGATTCTGCATTTCCTCTGTAGAAATGAAATGTTTGTTACATTGTTGCCATTTCTAACAATGATCCTGACTTGTTACATTGTTCCTGGCCCTGCAACTGAAGATGAGAACTTAGATTTGAAGAAAGTATTATGGTGGGGAGAGATACTTGTCTAAAAATTTCTAAGCTTTAATGTGGAACTGTTATAAAAAAATCTGTCACTCCCACTAACAGGCCTTCAACACTGGAAGTGTACTAGGTCTTACACATATACCCCTGACATTTTTCAAAGGCTAATATATGAGTTCAATTGAGTTTGAAAGGCTTTGAAATGATCTACCCACAATGGTTTTGTAAACTCTGTGGCTTAGCTTCTTCCCTAGATTTTTCAATGAGGTGGACTTAAGCATTTCAGTTTTACTAGCACTCTTTCTCTTGATTAAGCAAAGAGAAAACATTTAAGATGCTAATGCACATTAAATGCAAAACTTCCCTTAGCATGAGTAGGCAAGGTGGATCTCTAATTAAGGATTATACTCGTGAGCCCAAAGGAACTTGAATATTAAGAAAAAAAATAGTGTTTAATTCCTCAGAGTTTGTGGAAGTAGTAATCTGCTGCAAAACAGAAAAATTAGAGAATGCAATGTCTCCTGGATGTTTTCATCATGGTCATTCCAGAGTTAAGGTTCTAGCTTTATTCAGAGTATTACTTAAACTTTTTGTCTTAAGATTCATAACCTGTATTATGTATATTAAGCTCCCCTTAATCTAATTATTTGATACTCCTGTTTCATAAATTATAAAATACATTATTTTAAGTCTTTCTTTTGGCATGTTTACCTCTTACTGCATTCTTGACCTTTTTCTGAATCTTGGAAATAATCAGTTTTTCTGTTAGAAGACTTTGGATTTTTTTAAAATGTTATAAATATAAAATCAGTCTCAAGCTGTTTCTGCTCTAAACACAGCTTTGGATTGTGGTTTTAAATGCTCAGGCCATGTTTCTGAATACCTAGTTCTGCTTTCATCATCTTGTATTGCCCTGAAGACTTTTTTTTTTTCAGTTTATTTTGTCAGACTACTTGTTTTATCATAAAAGGTTTTATTATATCCTTGGATTATATTCTTGAGGTTAAGGAGGTCTTTGTTGTCTTTGGAGGGAGGACAGAATGCTTCCCTCCGTGAGTATCACCAGTATTGTCTAACCTAGATATTTTGTGACGGTTTATTATATAGTCATATGGTATCCCTTGTGGACAAATATTTGGCATTGAATTTTGTCTTTATTATCCTGAACAGCTTAGTAGTGTTAGAAATTCTTGTTACTACACTAGCCTCCTACCTTTCTATGGTTTTTGAACATGTGGGACACCAAAAGTGACTCCCACTGAATAAACTAAGCATGTACTACTATTACTTATTTCTCTTAGTTAAAGCAGTTCTTTAACTGTAATGGTTTGGTTTTTTTTGTGTTTCCCCTTAAGACAGAGCAGTTGTGTCACTTTAAGAACTCTTAAAGTGTGGAACTTTGCAGAAATACATTTCAAATCCAAGTAGACAATTTTACTTGGATCAATCTTCTTTACTTCTAAGAAGTAGCTTAGGAAATTTCTGAGGTTGAAAGTAAGACTATTTTAGAAGCTAGTGAAAATCTACGTCTGGTGATTCAACTTTTGCTTGATTTCCTATGGATGGTTGAAATGAATTGCATGCAGTGTGAGTGAATTGTTACTATATATACCTTTCTTTTGATTTATTCTGTCTCCTAGTGGCATCTGAACTTGAAGTACATTGACCAGTCTTCTCCATGTAAACTGAGATCCAAATGTTATCTGTCCTAAATTGCTTAATAATGACCCTGTGTGCAAATAATTATTTTCCTATGGCCTTTTGTTGGCTTTCTGCAATGTTTCCATTTCAATTCTGTCTTGGCCTTTAAGACTTTCTGGCACTCTCCTTGTTCCCAGTGTATCTGAAGGAGTGTGTTTGTCGTGATTGTTCAGAGAATTTTCTGATAGTGAATGTAGATTCAGTGTGACCTGCAGAAATGTATGGACTGAACACTTGTGTGATCTGTCACAAGCTCGGTCATCATTTACCAGTGCTGGTGAAGAAGACATGGTAGGAAGCAAAAGCAGACATAAATGTATAATAACGAATGTAATATAGTAAGCTAAGTGTGGTGTATGACCCTTCATTTTTGAGTGAATTAATCTTAAACCAGGCTGTGGTTTAAGATGAGTGTTACCGAAGCAACCTCATAGGGAAGGAAATATGTATGGGAAGCATCCACAGTGGCTGTTTGTAGGAGAACCGAGCTGTTAAGCAGCATGTGCTTGTATGTTCGACATAGAATCACTATGCTTAATATTTTCTCTTGACTAGCATTATTCCATTCTGCTATAGCAAATATCCCAAATTTTTTTGAAAGGCCGTAGTATGCTTTTTGGGAATGCATCATAGTGCTCATTGTTGGCGACATTTTGATGACAGTCAAATTTCCCTTTACCAACTTGACTATCTTGCATAAATGTTAGGAATGTAATGATTATTGTGTGGTTACACAGCTGAGATTTCTGCAGGGGAATATAGTGACTGCCTATCATTACTTCCGTGACCTCTCAGATAACCGGAATCCTGGTCATCTGTGAAGTTCTGAAGTGATTAAGGGAACCTCCTAACTCATTCTGCTGTTGCTCGACTGCAACATCAGAACAGGATGATTTGGCATAGAGGATTAATTAACAAGACACCAATGCAATGTAGACATTTCTATTTTCTCTGTTACCTTTTTAAAACAATCCTTGCTAAAAATAAAAGTTGGTTTTAATGGCGACTGTATTTCTGCTGTGAAGTACTGATTTCTTGAGCATGCTGAGATTCGTGCCTTGCTGAAAGTTCATCCTGTGGGATATACTAACAGCCTGTCAACAGCACTAACATACTTTTTTTGGACTTTAGCTACCAAGGAAGACTATACATCAGTGTTGCGCATGTTACCACACACTTTTTCCTGGATTTGAACTTTTCTTGCTGTTGAAATCGTATTGTAGTCAAGCAAAAATCAGTTTTATATTATTGTCTTTATTATCAAGAATAACTCAGTTTTCTTTCATTAAGAGTAAAATGAGCCTTTTTGTAAGGTTGCACTCTTATGCTAGTCAGCATGGCACTCGCGCTGGTGAGGGCAAACTTTTGGTTGACTTTGACTATTTTGGAAATGTGTGTGATGAGGAATTTGAATCTGTAGTGAATTTCTATTTACAGCTTAATATATGTGCATTCAGCAGCTCTCACATACCTTTAATTAGAGAGATTAGGCATCAGTGAATTTGGAAGTCTTTTAGTTAGATGAATGCTCATGCTACTCAGTAAAAAAGAACAGAACAAAACCATTTAAAATAGTTTTCAAAACATAAGCCTGTGGGGCTTGATTAATTTAATCTCATGTAGCTGTTGTTTTGGTTCTGTTTCATTATTGGTATTCATTTTTAGCTCTGAGATGTATACCATACATTTAGTCATACTATTAGTATACCATAACTAGAACCCATGTGAATAGGAAATATTTAAATATGTTTACTGAACCGAAGCAGTCATTTCTGTCTTGACTGATACTTTTCATACGTGAGGAGACATCAAAGACAGGATTAAGAGATGATACTTGATCAAAGAACGGACATTTAGATGTTTTTAGTTTTAACTGTAGCATCTGACAGGTATGTGCATTCTACTAATAGAGAATTCAATTGCACTTTTATAACAGCATCTTTATTTCTCATTATGAAGTTTTTAAAAGTAATTAGAATGTAAAATACTGGTAAAACAATGAAAGTAAAAATTGCACACAGATGTAACCTAAGCTTATTAGAAAAAAAATGCTGATTTGTAACTAAAATGAAAATCTGAGTTTACAAATATTTATACCAGAAATATAGAAATAAAACTGGATCCATCACTGTCATGCAAAAATCCTTCAGGTCTTATTATCAGAATGTGACTTACTGGTTTTCTATCATCAGTATTTCAGTGATTTCAGTTTATTAGGCTTATGTAGTGCAGTCTTTCAAATACTGATTTTGATGAAAATAGAAGTGGTAAAAAAATTAGTTGGAGAGGGTAACTCATTTATTTTAGTGGTTCTAGAAGTTGCCCAGTATACGTAGGATTGCAATGTAAACATTTAAAGTGCATTTTTGAGGCTTAATTTTATATTTCTTGTTAATGATATGGCATAACAAGATGCAGATGCCCTGTTCAGTGTGATGCTGTAAATTTTGTTTATAGACTGGGATCATTTCGGTTACTGAAACTCATTCCTAACAAAATGCTTTTTATATTATACATTTTTTTTAGGTTTTAATGTTAGAAAACTTACCCATTTAATTT